TGTTTCTTATTCTTTGACCTTGTCAAGAAGGCAAAAATATCTTCCTTAATGATATCTATTATTAGTAAATATTTAAGAACATTTCTTAACTTGTTATACCAATACAAACATTTTAGCCTGGATTTCATAATGGCATCATTTATGTCATGCAAAGTGATGTGTATTCGCATTTTAACAACCTAGACATTTAAAAAGCATATATAAGTATTCACATATTATAATCAATTTAAATGAGATAGTTAATCTTAAATTGATTGCACACATTATTTTCTTCAAGATGATAACCTTCCATATCACCTCGAGAGATTATTACAAGGATTCTCTAGTTAGCTAGGATCCCTACCCATTCTAATCATGACCTTGAGTGTGATCAACAAACCATGATAGATGGATTAGGTAGATAATTGAGCTTACCAATTGTATCTTTATACAACTTTTAGAGCAGCTACATGACAACACATTGCCTAAACATATCAGATATGTTTCACCTAGCCATTGTCTCTAGTTTCCATTATAATCAAGTTTCCAAGCATCCAAATTTTATGAAACTAGCTGAGAAAGACCCCCCAATAGCTCAAACATACTTGTGTAAACATGTGACCTTTTAGCTGCAGGGGCAACAATGGTTTGCCCACCTTTTTAACTTCATGGTGGTTCAATTTTAGGGATTTAATCCCTTAAAATCCTTTTTGGTAATAATTTGGATAATTTATGGAACTATTTTCACAACAAAATACTCAACCAACTGGTGCAACTAATTGGACAAATTAGGCATATTCTTGGTCGTCAAGCTAACCAAAATCGTGATTGAGACTACTGTAAGCAGCAGCGATTTCAACCAAGTTTTGATGGCTTGTCCACCACCATCAGTCGTTGATTATCAACCTCTCTTGGAACACTTCCAATGTAAATTGATTCCTTAAATCTTCAACATTTTACAAAGCCTTTAAACCTCATTTTTATGGCAAAAAATGGACCAATACCATGGCCGGATAAAATTGCATTCTACCATTGAAATCGCACCATAATGTCATGAAATTGGATCTTTATTTGCTAAAATTATTTTGTGCATCACATGCACTTGTTAATCTACAATATTTTGACATTAAAATGAGACTAATATTATCATAAATAAGATTTAAAATTTAGTATTAAAATCTATCCAAAAATTAAAATAACTAGAACAAATTATAAAACTTTTAAACTTACTATTTTGTGTTGAACAAAACCCCGAATACCTATATATCTTTGCAAATAGGCATTAACAACAATTAGATATAAAATAGAACCCAAGAAAGCTCTAATACCACTACTGGGTTTGTGTATGGATAGCATGATCAAAATATGCACAGCTAAATAATAATTAAAATTTTGTTGCATAATCAAAATATGCCTTAACTAATGGATCACCTTGGTGATATTTAACACATAAAAGCACAAATTTAATTAAAATTCAAAAGGTTACCTTGCCAAGTGAACTTGTTATCAAATGGCTCTTTTCTGATGTTGAAAAAACATGCACACTTCCAAGCTTAAAAGAATCCTAGCCAATCAATCGCTTGGCCTTTGATGTTGCACACACGATTGCAACGAAACAGTCTCCAAGGAGAAATCTTTCAACCCTAGGGCTTGTGTTAGCAAATGGCCAATGGTTTGTTCTTTCTTTTTCTTTGATTTCCAGTAGAGAATCATAAGAGAAGTCACTTTCAGTTTCTTTCAAGGGCAGTGTCACTCAAAGAAAGCTATTAGTTTTTCTCTAAAACTAACACACTTATCAAAAGGAGTGGTTATCATGTGACTTTTATATCTAGGTTTTTAGACTTATTAAAATTGAAAAATAGGCCCTTCAATATTATAACTTTGTAATATTTAACTAGTATTTAATTAAACTATTTAATTAGGTTCCTAGTAGTAAAAATCTAATATATGATTTAAGTTTAACTCAAATCATCACACTCAACCTAATCCAAATTGCAACCTTTTGTGCGTGATTCATTAAGTTCCTAACAAGTTGGCAATGGAATTGAAATATAATTCTATTAGTTAATTAATTTAAATGAATCTTATTTAATTTAAATTAACTAATTCAATTCCCTAAATCAAGATTATCATCTAGCAATGCATCATGGCCATCTAATTGTTATGAAAGTTAAAGGATTCATTGACAACCTTTCAATGTACAATCTTACAGTGTAATTCATTCCCTCATCATATATTCCAGAGATGATAAGAGCTTAGTGCAGTGTCTACTCTTATTGACTTCTATATTTGTTCGTATAATTAGATCATTAGCTAAATAGAGACTTAGGAAACTCATTTCATAATCTCCTAATCACCTTGGCCAAGGTTTGATTAAGTTAATATCATCCAAGAACTAATGAGATATTTTACCTTGAATCACTTGAGATAATGATTCCTATCTGAACTACTCATTTACCTTCATATGCTTCACATTGTACCCAAAAACATCTTGTTTAACATCTTTGGTTAGGCACCCATAAGGATGAAATCAAAGCATAGCACTCCACATATAAGACAACCTAATATCTCAAATCTAATGAGTAGTTACACAATCGACAAATGAGAAACATTGCATAGACACTAGAGTGAAATACCAAATGTACTTCTCATGTTGGTTCATGTTTAGTGAACTTTCTTATCCATGGCAAGCACCCACATGCTAATTCTAAGTATATCTATACTTCAACCTATGAGAGCAGTTGCTTACTTCACAAGTAAGAAATATAGCATGTGCCAATCATTGAGTATTATTGATGTTTTGTTTTAGTAATACAATGATCAAAAACTTTTAAAAATAATGCTTTGATGCATAAGGATCTCATAATTGTATCCCAATACAATTCCTTTGCAAGGCATGTTTAGTTCCATGAGCTTTGTCTACATAAGTATAAATAATAATTAAATCACAAAGTTATTGATAAATAGCTACTTGAATATTATTATGAATAACAAAATGTCATATATGAATATCTCAAAAATGGAATTACCACACATAGTTGGTGAAGAAAATCCTTCACTATCTTCCCAATTCATGGAGACCTAAGGTCACAGCAATAAAAGAAGCCAAAAACCTAAATGTACTTGAGCTAGATGAGCTTCTAGGTTCTTTGCTTAGTTATGAAATGGCCCTTAGACATGAGAAAGAAATATATGAAGCAATTAGAGGAGAATTAAAAAGAAAAGATATTTCTCTCAAGGCTGTAAAGCAAAGTGATGAAAAGTCACTTAAAAGTGATAATGAAAAGGAAAATGATGAGGAGATAACACTGTTGATCAGAAGGTTCAATAGATTTTTGAGGAGCAAATAGGGAAGCAGAAAACTTTTCAGAAGAAAAGAACGAAGAAGAAATCTAAGAATAGATATTCCAAAGATTGATCATGGAAATGATCATATCAGTTACTATGAATGCAAAAAGCCTGGTCGCGCTAAATATGAATGTCTAGAACTTAAAAAGAATCATCAAAGAAACTCCAAGAGAAAAGCTATGATAGCTACATGGAGCGATAGTGATGAATCCCAACATGAGTAGGAAGAGGAAACTGCAAATCTGTGTTTCATGGAAGTTGAAAACTCCAAGGTATGCTCTTCAAACATTGCTTATTGTTCTAATGATTATAATGATAATCCATATTCTTTTGATGAACTTCAGGATGCATATGATGACTTAGTATTTGAGCTTACACATATGAATTTTAAAAGCAGAAAGGTCATCTCAAAGCTTAAGATAGAAATTGATTACATGATTAATATTGAGTCTGAGCTAAAAGCAAGGTAAAGATTTTAGAGAATGAAGTGAATAACTTAAATGAAAAAGGAGATTTCTTGAATCTCTTATGAATGTTGATCAAAACATCGATGAACTCTAATAAAAACACCATTGAGATTTCATATTCATATCGGTATTGCATGACCGATTCTAATATCATGTTAGATTTCAAGGATCAAATCAAGATCAAAGGTCTGGAAAAAAGATTTGAGAGAAAGAGAAAATGAATTTGTAACAAAAGGTTACTATTTATATTAGTAACTAACTACATTGATTAACAAACTAACAATAATAACAAATCAAATTTCTAAGAATGATTAACTTTACGAGCTACAAGTTAACTCTGATTAAGTTAAATGACATGTTGCTCCTCAAATGCGGTGAGCTTGTTCTCCTTTCCTCTTGTTAATCATCAAGACTTCTTAACCATAATTTATAGGGTAAAATATCTTGACCTCTTTAAGTTTTGATCAAAATTATACAAAGGTTCATTAGTTTTCAAAATAAACACTCAGTCTAAATAAATATTTTTTACTGGACATATAAATTCAGTCGTTAGTATTTTTATCAACTTGCTTACGTGACAAGGATGGATAAATAATTTTATCTTTAATTAAATTTATAATTATAATTATAAATTTATTATTATTTTATTAATTAAAATAAAGCTCTTCATTGAAGAACGTCAAAACTCCCTTAGAGAGCCCCGATCAAGCTCCCTAAAAGAGCATCGAAGCTTTGGGGAGCCAGATCGAGGCTTCCTAAGAGAGCATTGAGTTCATCAAGAGAAGTACCAGGTGCTCCCTTGGGAGCCTCGATCGGGCTTCATAAAGGACCACTAGTTCTCTCTTTCTTTGGAGCATCAATAAATATTTTTTTTAAATATAATAATAATTTTTTAAATTAATAAAAAAATAAAAATATTTTACTTTTTTATTATTTTTATTTATAATATTAATAATTTTAAAATAAAATATTTATTTTAAAAATTAATAAATTTTTATATAATTTTAACCAAAACTTCAAAGATCACTATTTTATAGTAATATATATCTACGGATACCAGCTGACCCACTGCACAAAAGCGGTCGAAGTCCTCTGCCCTTGGTTTGAAAAATTAAACTGCTTGACGAAGACCAAAAGACAAAAAGTGAAAGAAAATGGCCCTTAAAATTTTAGAAAAGACAAAGGTAAAAGCGTCAGAGCAGATGCTCTGCTTGCAGTTTACAGTGGAATATAGGCCCTTGAGTCCTCCTGTAAGATTATGCTGGAATTTTCTTTCCTCAATCCACAAATACCCCTGAAGTTGGAGGTTTTTTCTTTCCCCCTGCTTTGTTTTTCCCTTTGAGATAACCTGGAGATTCTCCTTCCAACTTTCCCTCCTCTGTTTCCAGTTTCCACCACCATTTCTCAATAACCAACAGCCATGGATCGTCTCAACAGTCCTGCACGTCTCATGATAGTTTCAGATCTTGATCAAACAATGGTATATAAAAAAGCAAAAAAGAAAGAAAAAATCCCTCTTGCATAAAGTAAACAAACCATTGAATTCCAAGCGATTTCATCATGCTGTATTAATGTAATTCCAGGTTGATCATGATGACCCAGAAAACCTTTCTCTTCTTCGGTTCAATGCTCTTTGGGAAGCCTATTATCGCCAGGATTCTTTGCTGGTGTTCTCCACTGGAAGGTCACGAACCAGTTATAGACAGCTGAGGAATGAGAAGCCTCTGTTGACCCCAGATGTAACTATAATGTCTGTGGGAACTGAGATTGCTTATGGTGAATCAATGGTACCGGATTATGATTGGGAACGGTTTTTGGACAACAATTGGGACCGTGATATTGTCACTCAGGAAACAGCTAAGTTTCCCCAACTCATTCCTCAGGTATGTTTTTTATTTTTTATTTTTAAAGAAAGGACAGTTTGAATTCTATTCTTGTTCAGCTAAGGATGACCAGTTCTTTCAGTAGTTTTAACTAATTGAAATAATGGGATTGCTTGCAATTCTAGTTTTAATCTTCCTTTGGTTGTTGCTTTCGTTATTTGTTCTTTTGCAGTTAAGCTTGTTTACGTTTGGAGATTTCTCTGTTTGGGCATTTTGTTGTTGGCTGGCTTCTCTTTTGAGTTAGGTTTTATTTGTATCAGCTTGGATATGAAGTTGGGAGTTCTTGTGTTTGGTCTTTTTGATAAAAATTCTTTTTGGGTTGCAAAAGGAATTTTCTTTTATTTTCAGAAGTGAAAAGCAAAAAGTGGATTTAAATACAAAAGTGGAAGAATTTCTTCTTTTTTTTTTGGAAATTAAAATGAAATATTATCATTTGTTTGTAATAGTTGAATTTGTGTCACATTTTAGTCCAATTTCATTTGCTGTTTCAAATCAAATATGATTCTGCTTCTCTCATTACTATTTCCTTTTGGCAAATGTTTAAGTATTAAAAGTTTGAATTATTACCAGTTGTTTAATTAATGTCATTGATTACATTTTAGTTTTAACATAAAAACCAATTACTTATTACTTTTACTTTTTGCTGATCAAATGGACAGAATTTTTTTACTTTTTTGAATAAAAAAATGCAGGATTTTAGTTTATAAAAAATTAATTTTATTTTAATGCATGTTACATTGTAGTAATTTGGTTATTTTTAATCAAATATGGTTTTGCTCCTTTTTTCAGTACACTACTTATGGATTTTAGGAAGTGAAAATAAAAAAACCAAAAGCAAGCAAGAGAAATAAAAATCATAACAAGGCTAAGAAGTTTATGTTTCCATTGCAGTCAGATAGAGACCAACGACCTCACAAGGTTAGCTTTTATCTGGAGAAGGCTGAGTCATTCGAAGTAATCAAGGCACTCTCAGAATGTCTAGAGAAACGCGGGGTGAGATTGTATTTTTGTTTTATTTAAAAATTGTTTTCCCATGCGATAAACAATTTTGCATGAGAAGGCATGTGTAGGAATTGATTCCTTTATTTAGTGCTTATGGTTTGGGAGATTTTGTTTCCTTTTTCTCATAAATTGTTTTCGACCTTAATTGTTTCTTTGGCAGTTAGATGTTAAAATTATTTATAGCAGTGGGACAGCTTTGGATGTGTTACCAAAAGGTGCTGGTAAAGGACAAGCTCTTGCTTATTTGCTGAAAAAGTTAAAGCTGATGGAAGAGTTCCACTTAATACACTTGTTTGTGGTGACTCTGGAAATGATGCTGAACTATTCATAGTTCCTGAAGTATATGGTGTGATGGTATGCAGCTTCAAGCTTTTATTGTTTCTTTTTGTACTTATATTACATCTGTCTAACCTGAAGTTGAATTTGCAGGTTAGCAATGCACAGGAAGAGTTATTGCAGTGGCATGCAGAAAATGTGAAAGACAATCCTAATATGTTACGTTCTACTGAGAGATGTGCATCTGGAATAATACAGGCCATGGAAAAATTTACTCTTGGGCCATATGTGTCTCCCAGAGATATTAGAGACTTCAGAAAATGCAGAGTAAATATTTTCAGTCCTGGTCATGAAGTGGTGAAGTTCTACTTAATTTATGAGAGATGGCGATGTGCAGAAGTTCAGAAGTCTGATCTGCTTATGCTAAATCTGAAATCAAGCTTTGTATGTCTGAATTCTCTTCCCTTTCAGTGATTTAAAACCTTTTCACTATGAATGGCATTACCCTAATCTCGACCTGGAGATGAACATGATTTACTTCTATGGCCATGTCTAGCTAGGGTGAGATGTGATAATAAATGTTAATTTTGTCTCAGGAATGGATAAGCATAGGTAGAGGATGGCCATACCAATGTTAATGCTCTGCATGAACTAAAGCTTATGCCTTAGTGCAGGATGTGTTCATTCTATTCCGCAGCCAATAATTCCGTGTGCCTTGATTTTTATAAGAGCTTCATTCATTCTGTTAATTTTGAAATTGCATTCTTTTTGGTCTTATGGTTTATTCTTTTTGCTGAATTGCTGACACTTATTGATTAATCTTTTCTCTTCAGTATTTATTAGGTACTTTTGTCCATCCCTCTGGAATTGAGCAATCACTGAACAAGTGCATAGATATGATGGAAAGATTATATGGGGATAAACTAGGAAAGAAATATCGGATTTGGCTGGATCGGGTTTCAGCAGCACAGATTGATTTAAATTCATGGCTTGTGAAGTTTGATAAGTGGGAGTCAACTGGTAAGACTTGCTCAACCTTATTTGGTTGTCTGCTTTGCACTTTATAATCTCTATTTTATCAAAATCTTATTGTCTCCCTTTTTTGGCTGGTTTTGACTTATATTTATCTCTTCCAGTTTACTTCTTATACTGTAAAACTTAATTCTACCAAGTTGTGAAGTAACCAAATTATGCTCAATAATTTTGCCAGGGACACTCAGGTAACTCAAACCTGTTATGCCGGTGTTAGTTGATGTGTAAAGAAAAACAAACCTAAAGTATTTAATTCTAAGAATGTAAGAGAATCAAAAGAGAGAGAGTACTAGTGATCAAAAACACTGCCAGGAGGCTGGTTTTCTTATTTCTTAAGCTAGGTACTAGAAAGAGGGTCTCCAGCTAAGGCATTATTGCAATAAAAGCTGAAGCTAGCCCTTAATTTGGTTTAGCATCAACTTCCCATACTCACTTAAAGCCAAAATGACATACAATAACATAAGTAGTAGCCTGAACATTGCGGTATTGCAGCACTTGGGTTTTGCTCTCTAAATAGTGCTTAGTTAGAAATATTTAACTGCATAACTTTTGAAAGAGAAGTTAACTCAGCCATTTATTATTGGATTCTATACATATGTTGCTCCCCTTGTGGGAGTCTTAACTTCTTGTTAGCTTACTGACAGAAATAGCTCTACCTTCATTGATGACTAAGGCTCCATTTGGTTGATGCTTTTGGTCTTTACCTTTTGTTTTCTATTTATTGTTTGTTTTTTGTGTTTTGCATTCTATTTTGCAAAAAGAAAAAAGAAATATCTCTCTTTTACTTTGTCATGGGAATAGTTGAAGGTGTAATTATCCTTCTCAAGGTCATTAGCTTGTAGTTGCATAATCTTGTTCTACCATCATCCTAGTTTTACACATTGGTGAACAAAAGCTGGCTTTAACACTAAAGCTTGAATTTTTTCTTCTTATGATGATCTGGATCTAATACAAAGACTTGCCTGACTGGTTTAGGTTGATCGTGAGCTTCTGTTTCTTTTCTCTTACTTGGAGTGCCAGCAGTGTTCATTTAATTTTTTGTGTTTTATGTTAGCAGGTGGTTTTTTGATGTATCACCAATTATCTCAAAATAAAAACGAGAGAAAAAATTTATTATGTTTTATGTTAACTGGTGTACCACCAATTATCTCAAAATAAACACTTGAGAAATGGTCTAAAATTCCAATTGGAAAAGCCACTAAACTCGTCTCAAATCTCAATATCAAAAGTTACCTCAAAAAGTTTGTCAGGAAGGATGCCAATCCAGTACCCTGAAAACGAAAGAAATAAATGGTTTCATTAACATCTTGATTTATGTACCTGATTGAAGTTAAGGCCAATTGGGAGAAGTAGTTTGAGATTCATTTATGAATAGCTTCAACTACATGCTTACTAAATATTTTTATTATATATTTTAGTTTATGTTTGTTTTGTCCTTGCCTCAGTAAGAGTGAGTGCCCTTGTTTTTTTCTGTTTGTGATGCATTACCTGCAAAGCATGAGTGTGGCTTAACATTAGATGTTGGAGCCATCATTTACTTAGCCTTCTATATACTATATTGTGAATTTCTGCTTCTTTTTATCTTCTACCATTGAACACTCAAAATGCTATTCATCTAATTGTGTAAATTGTTAACAGCCAACATCTTTTATGCCCTTTTATCAATTCATTTTATGGACCACTTTCTGTATAATCACTATAACTGTTAATTTTTGAATTTAGAAATCTTTTAGTTTCTTATGAAATATTTCTAAATCATTCCAGGGGAGACAAGGCAGTGCTGTCTAACAACAGTCTTACTAACTACAAAGGTATCCCGGTCCATATCCTCCAAATTGGTGTATTTTCTTTCCCTCTCCCTTTCAAAAACAGTCATTGTTATTATCCCCATATGATTTTCTAGCCACAGGTTTGATAATTGTGTAATCAATATTTTGTATTTCGGGTTTCAGCAAGCTGAAGAACCAGAAGCCTTCACATGGATGCACATACATCAGACATGGCTAGATGGTTTGGAAGCAAAAGACCAAACTACTTGGATTTTCTAGTCTGCTGTCTGGATCAGCGTTTCTTTC